AAGGGAGCCTATCATCTGCAATCTCCCGCACGTAATATGAAGTAAGTGGAAGAAACTAATTTCAATATTATGGGAATTTTTAAAAATATAAATTTTATTTTTTCTTACAGTTGGTTGCAATACTATCTAATCGATGTTGCCGTTTTATATTTGGTCTCCATCTATCTGATATATTTCCTTGTCAAACGTCTATTTTTGCGTTTCGATGTGATACGATCGCTGCACACCCCCACAAAAGCCAAGAAGTTATAAAAAAGTAAAACAAAAAATAAGAATTATTATAATATAATACTGCTTCAAGCTAGTTTTTATATTATATTTAATAAAAATATATTTTATATGTATTTAGTTCATAGTTAAGTAATATATTTGAGTTCTATTTTGTTTTATATATATATATATATATATATATATGTAATTTAAATGGGTGATATTGTTATTTTACTAAAAAAATATATGCTAACATATGTATGTGCTTTTCAATGTGAGTCATATAACAAAAACAAATTTTATTTAACGTCCTCTGCTTAAATTAAAAAAATAAATATATCTGTTTTATTTTCTAAATATTTTTTATTTAGTTCATAAGAAATTTACAATGTAATTTTGTAAATATTTTTTTATTTTTTATTACTAATTAGTTGTTAAGTATTTTTTTATAAATTTAGTTTCTTGTGTATAGAGGAAACGAAATTATATTTTTTTAGTTTTTAAGGCAAGAGAGACAAGACACACACATACAGACACGTACACATATGCAGACATAAACAATAAACCAAAGTCAATTAATTTTGTTCACAATTTTGATTAATGTTATAATAAATAACTTAGGAATTATTATATATGTTTTTTTAATTATTAATAAATGTAATGTTTATACAAAAATATTTATGAAGTTTTTAAATTATTGAAAAAATATATGAAAATATATAATTTTTTTAAGGAATTTTTAAATGTTTTAAAACTATTTTTTTTAAATGAGTATCAAGACTGGGTTTTTTTAAAGCAAAATTTTTAGAGACCTCGAATAATCTTTAAAAATCCACCTTGAAAAAATATTCCTTAAAAATCCACAGAAAAGATTGTTCTTTAAAAACTCAAGCCTTGGATTCTTCGTCGAAAAAAATATTGAAATTTTCTTTAATTTCTCTCTCTATTACGTGTGTTTTAAAAATTTTTGCTGGTCAAAAGTTATACGCATTGAAAGTTGGAATCGAAAAACTGATGTGACTGTTTTCAATCATGGTCATCAACAGATGGCGCTGAAGACGGGGGTTTATAAAACTTACACACCTAATTTATTTTTGCCATAACTTTTTTCGTGTTGCAAATATTAAAATAACTGTGGTACCATGTGAAAGGGACAATCATAAACTTTCTTGTAAAATGAATAAAATTTTAAAATTCGGTATTACTGAATATCACAAAAAATTTTTAATAATAGTTTTTCACTTTTCTGTTATCATGACCACTCCGACGAACTCTCTTGAAATCGATTACAAACAAGTTATTCTGAGCTAAAAATATGCGTTTTATTTGTGTATCTGCTATTACGCTTTTAATAGTTATGTTTAATCCCATAAAATTTTAATTTTCCGGGAACATGACAACTCTGCTACAGTAAATGTTCTTAGCTATACATAACCATTTGAATTCTTTCTGTATCATTACACATTGAGAAGTTATGAAGAGTACAAGTTAAGATAGCAACACTGGCAAACACTTTTTACCAGCGCTATCTATATCCAAAAATGCAAAATTTAAACCTCATTTATTTTTGCCATAACTTTTGACCTATTGTAGATATTGCAATGAAATTTGTGTCATATGAAAGATAGAATTTTAATGTTTCTGGTAATTTCCCTCGGTAAATTTTTTTCTAGTCATATGCGATGCGATTGCCCGTTCAAAAGTTATACGCTTTTTAAGCTGGGCTTAAAAAACTGATGTGTCTAATTTGAATCATGTCCACCAATAGATGGCATTGACAACGTGATCTTAAAATATGCATAGCTCATTTCTTTTCGCCATAACATTTTTCTGTAATATTACATTTAAAATAGTATGAAGAATATAAGATACCTGTGATTTTCAGTGGCAACACTGGGCAACACTTGTCGTCAGAGCCATCTGTATAAGTAGATTCAAAATTTCATTATGCAAAATTTAAACTTCTTTTTTTGTCATAACTTTCGACCTATTTCAGATATTTCAAGAAATAAAAGGTAAAATTTTATAGTTTCTGATGATACAAAATCAATATTATACATTTTTGAATATGAAATATAGTATTGAAGTTTTCTTCAATTTCACTCGGTAATAGTTATAAAAATGATTTACTGGTTATAGTAAAGTAAACTATTTACGCTTTCATATGACACCAGTTTAATAAAGATGAGATTATCCGTGCAAAAGAAAGTAGAGCTTATTATGTGTCTGATTTAAATCATGCCCATCAATAGATGGCGTTGACGACGTGTTTATAAAAAAATTACACACCTCGTTTATATTTGACATAACTTTTTTTCGTATTGCAGATATTAAAATGAAAGTGGCGTAAAATTGGTGTCATATGAAAGCTACAATTTCATAATTTCTTGTAAAGTAGCACTAATATTATTTTTTTTAAATTTTTATACCCTTCACCACACTGTGGTACAGGGTATTATGTCTTTGTGCATATGTTTGTGACAGACAAAAGGAATCGAGATAGACCCATGGTTCCTTTTGGGAATATGCATAGAATCACTTTCTAAATCGATTTATGCATGTCCGTCCATGTATTTTTGTGAACAAAGTACAGGTCGCATTTATGATGCGGTTCAGATTTAGATATAGCTCCCATATATAGTTTCGTCTGATTTTATGTAAATGGTGCACCAAACTACCAATATTGGTCCGATTGAGACAAAATTTTGCACAGAGTATTGAATTAGTTCTAGATTGTTGTATGCCAAGCTTTGTTAAATCGGTTAAGATTTAGATATATCTCTCATATATATTTTCGTCCGACTTAAGGTAAATGGGGCACCAAAGTCACTATTTATCTTTCGATTTGCACGAAATTTGGTTCGGTGTTCTCAATTGAGTCTAGAATGAAGTGTGAAAAGTTTCGTGAAAATCGGTTCAGATTTAGATGTAGCTACCATATATAATTTTGTCCGATTTAATGTAAATGGTGTACCAAAGTCCCTATATATCTTTCGATTTGCACGAAATTTGGTATAGCGTACTGATTAAGAATGATGTGATTAAGTTTCGTTAAAATCGGTTCAGATTTAGATATAGTTCCTATATATAGTTTCGTCAGATTTTAAGTAAAAGATGCACCAAACACCCAAAGTTAGGCCGATTGATACAAAATTTTGCACAAAGTACTGAAGTTTATATAACCTATCATGTGGAAAATTTTATTGAAATCGGTTCAAATTTAGATAGAGCTACCATACATACATTTTCTCCCGATTTAAAGTAAATGATGCACCAAGAACTGAAAATGTGGCCGATATTCTGTGACAAGTTTCGATAAAATCGGCTTAGATTTCGATATAGCTTTTATAAATATTTTCGTCCGATTTTAAGTAAATGGTGCAACAAACTCCTCATGTTTGTCAGATATGTATCCAAATAATCAACGGGTGTCCTATTGATATATATTTTAAATTGATTTACATAATTTTGTCCCATTGTAAGAAGCATTTCTATATCCGACCAAATAAAAAATTTAGTATAGGTTGCAGAAAGACATGTTTATGGGTTCAATTTCATTTTTTTTGCGACGTTTGTTAGGATTCATCTGTTAGTGGTGAAGGGTACCATATAGTCGGCCCCGTCCGACTTAACTACTTTCCTTACTAGTTGAATATGAACTGTGATATTAAAGTTTTCTATAATTTTCCACGGTAATATTTATGTTAAAAGATTTTTTTGCTGGTCGAAGTAAAATAGATTATTTACTCTTTCATATGACACCATGTTTATTAAAATGCGATTATCTGTTCAAAAGTTATGCCCTTGGAAGTTTGGACTTGAAAAACTGATTTGCATGATTTGTGTTTGACCTAAAAGTATGCTACACATTTTCTTTACCAACTAGCAGTCATTATGGAAGAAAAATTTGCCATTTTTGAAAACTCCAATTTTGTGTGGTTTTTCATTTTCAGTTAATAGGCGCCCAGCACTGAACAGTAGGTACATTTCGGAACATCGTTGAATTCAAATGCAAATAACTCAGCAACTACTTAACCGATTTTCATAAATGATGCAGGGATGGTTAGGGGGAATTCTCAAGTTTTATTCCATATTGACAAAACATATATAAATGTATGTAATAGAAGAGTAAATTAGCATTGTGTGAAAGTTCAAAGATATTTCAAATATCGACTATTTTTTTTTTTGTTAAATGTAAACAAAGTAGACACTATCTTTGTTCGATTTACACGAAATTTTGAGTAGTGAATTGAATTTGGCTTTGTTAAAAGAATGTTTTCTTGTTCAATTTATAACAATGCGGAGATTTTTTAAAGCATATTTGTTGAAGCAATAACTGCCACGTGTTTTTTTAATAAAAAACAATTATCTTTAGACACCTGTAATTTAATTGCCTTCGAAAATAACTTAATTTCCACTTGTCTAAATATATTTAAATATAAATCAATCACAACAAGGAGGTGGATTATTTGTTACAAAAAAGAAAACTACAACAACAAATAACCCAGCAATTAATAGTGTCCACCCAAACTATTACCCATATTACAATCAACAACAACGCCCTTCAATTTAAATTTGTAAAATATCTCTCAAACCAAAGAAACCGAAATATTTAATAACTATATTTAACATTTGAAAATAAAACAAAAAATTAATTGGTGTATTTAAAAGGATGGGTCCTTGATATAAAAACCCGTGGCCTTTGTGAAAATCAAAATAGTGTAAGGTCGTCTGGTGTTGAAGCAAAAACTTTGTGTCTGGAATTTTCAATTGGAAAACAAACTTTAAACATGACGGAAAAATTTTATCGGAAAATTGCAATTGGCTGTTTTATTTTAGCCCTGCTGGGTCTTAGTTTGGGCATTGCATTTCCATATTTACTAAAGAAAATTATAAAAAGTGTAAGTGTGCAAGGGAAATATTTGAACTGAAAATTTCTAAAAAAAATATTTCAATTTCATCTCCAGCAAATCAATTTAAAACCTGGTTCGGATTCCCGCAAAATGTGGGAGAAATTTCCCATTTCAATACAATTTTCAATTTATGTTTTCAATGTGACCAATCCGCATGAGGTTCAGGATGGTGGTAAACCGCGTTTGCAGGAAGTTGGACCATTTGTATTCGAGTGAGGAGAAAATTTTGAAGAAATAAATTTCAATTTTGTAATTTTTTGTTATTTTTCCCAGAGAATGGAAAGATAAATACGACATCGAGGATATTGAAGAAGAGGACGCGGTGGAGTTCAATATGCGTAATACTTTTATTTTTCGTCCCGATTTAGGTTTGAGTGGTGAGGAAATGGTTGTATTTCCACATCCATTGATTCAGGTAAGGGATATGATTTAAAAAAAAATCGTGGACTTCAAAAAAAATGTTAATAGAAAGCCAAGGCGTTGATTTAAAAAAAAAAAATTAAGAATTTCGAATATTTTTAAAGACTTAGATGAGGCGTGGATTTTTTAAAAAATATTATATGAATGTCCACATAAGCTTGGATTTTGAAATATTTTTTCATGGACACACATAAGGCGTGGATTTTTAAAAATATTTTTTCAATAGCCACTAAATGACGTGGATTAATTTTTTTTAAAAGCCACTTAAAGGCGCGAATTTTTCAAAAATATTTTTTCACTGAAAGGCGTGTCACAGCAAAGCGTGGATTTAAAATTTTTTTTCAAAGCCACTGAAAGACGTGTCACAGCAAGGCGTGGATTTTAAAAAAAATATTTTTTTAAAAGCAAAAGGATTTTTAAAAAAATATTTTTTCAAAAGCAAAAGGATTTTTAAAAAAATATTTTTTCAAAAGCAAAAGGATTTTTAAAAAAATATTTTTTCAAATGCCACTGAAAGGCGAGGATTTTTAAAAAATAGTTTTTTCAATAGCCACTGAAAGGCGTGGATTTTTAAAAAATATTTTTTCAAAAGCCACTGAAAGGCGTGGATTTTTAAAAAATATTTTTTCAAAAGCCACTGAAAGGCGTGGATTTTTAAAAAATATTTTTTCAAAAGCCACAACAAGGCGTGGATTTTTAAAAAATATTTTTTCAAAAGCCACAACAAGGCGTGGATTTTTAAAAAATATTTTTTCAAAAGCCACAACAAGGCGTGGATTTTTAAAAAAATATTTTTTCAAAAGCCACTGAAAGGCGTGGATTTTTAAAAAAAATATTTTTTCAAAAGCCACTGAAAAGCGTGTCACAGCAAGGCGTGGATTTTTAAAAAAATATTTTTTCAAAAGCCACTGAAAGGCGTGTCACAGCAAGGCGTGGATTTTTTAAAAAAATATTTTTTCAAAAGCCACTGAAAAGCGTGTCACAGCAAGGCGTGGATTTTTAAAAAAATATTTTTTCAAAAGCCACTGAAAGGCGTGTCACAGCAAGGCGTGGATTTAAAAAAATATATTTTTTTCACTGAAAGGCGTGCCACAGCAAGGCGTGGATTAAAAAAAAACAAATATTTTTTCAAAAGCCACAGAAAGGCGTGCCACAGCAAGGCGTGGATTTTTTAAAAAAATTTTTTTTCCAAAGCCACTGAAACGCCTGGATTTCTCTTTCTTTTCTCTTTTATCAGGTCATGGGCATTGTAATAAAGCGCGAAAAATTCGCTATGCTCGGTATGATCGCCGAGGGTCTGGAGGAATTATTTAAACCATCGACTCCTTTCATAAGGGCATCAGTAATGGATATATTTTTTCGTGGTATTGATGTCGACTGTGGTACGGATAATTTCGCTGCCAAAGCTATATGTTTGAATTTTCACACGGGCGCCGTGAAGGGAGCGGAAAAAGTCGATGATACACATTTCAAGTTTTCACTACTGGGAGCGGTAAGTAAATCTCAAAATTCGAAAGATTTTTCATTGAATATTTTGTTCCTTCTCATCCAGGGCAATCACAGTGATGCTGGTCGCTTTAAAGTTTCCCGCGGTACCCGAGACCATCGTACCGTTGGTCAAGTTCTAGAATTTGATGGTGATGAAGAGCTCAATATTTGGCCGGAGGGGGAATGCAATAAGTTACGTGGCACCGATTCTACGATTTTTGCCCCCCTAATGAAACCCAGTGATGGATTGTGGTCATTTTCGCCGGATCTGTGTCGTTCGCTGGGTCCACAATATCAAAAGAAGACAACCTATAACGGTTTGCCAGCTTTGCATTATGTCATGGATCTGGGGGATGTTAAGGTGGGATGTTTACAAAAAATTAGATTTCTTTTTGTAAAAATAAACTCTAATTTCTTCAGAATGAACCGGAAAATCATTGTTTTTGCAGAGACTATCCCGATGGGTGTCCACCCAAGGGTACAATGGATTTAACGCTTTGCAATGAAACGCCCATGATTGCATCGCAACCGCATTTCTTAAATGCCGATCCGAAGTTATTAGCCGAGGTGGAGGGCCTGTCGCCGGATGAAAAGAAACATGGCTTATTTATTGATTTCGAAATTGTGTGTAGCGCTATTTTATATTTTTTTATTTTAATATGTTTCTCCTCTCACCCCTTCTTCGACAGATATCTGGCACACCCCTCCAAATAGCCAAACGTTTGCAATTCAATTTGGATGTGGAGCCCATTGAAGAAATACCGGTGATGAGTAAATTGCGACCTTTGGTTATGCCATTATTTTGGATCGAAGAAGCGGTGGCCCTGAGTACGGATTTTACGAAAATCATTAAGGGAAAAGTTTTCACGTGAGTTGGGTTTGCATTTTTTTTTTTGAAATTTGTGAAGTATTTCAATTTTATTTTTTTCAATTCCAGAACCCAAACAATTGTCAATGTTTTTATGTGGAATGCCATTGTCCTGGGCTTTTGCGGTGTGGGATTTTCCGCATTTATGATTTATGTACGCCGCCAGGATGGTCAGAAAATATTCGATATTAAATCTTAAAAATAAAATTTAATATTTTTTTTAATAAATAAATTATGCCTCATAAGAAAGTCTATCATGAACAGGATACGTATTCTATACTCAATAAAATACGCTATGAAATATAGTGTCAATTTTTTTTTACATTTTACAAAAACTAGTCGATATTTGAAATATCTTTGAATATTCACATGATGTTAATTTTGTGTTAGAAAATTGTCAATTTGGAATAAAACTTAAGAATTTCCTCTAACCGTCTGTTCAAAATTTTTGAAAATCGGTTAAGTAGACGCTGAGTTATTTGCATTTGAATTCAACGATGCTCCGAAATATACTTCCTGCTCGATTCTGGGCGCCTATTACCTAAAAATGAAAAACCACACAAAATTGGAGATTTCAAAAACCGTAATTTTTTTCTTTCATAATGGCAGCTGGTTTGTAAAGAAAATGTGTAGCATACTTTTAGGTCAAACGCAAATCATGCAAATCAGTTTTTCAAGTCCAACCTTCCAAGCGTATAACTTTTGAACAGATAATCGCATTTCAACAAAAATGGTGTCATATGAAAGAGTAAATAATCTACTTTACTATGACCAGCAAAGAAAATCTTATAACATAAATATTACCGAGGGAAATTAGAGAAATCCATGCCTCTTATAGGCATTGAACAAATATTCCTTTATAACTCCATGTCATAACTCCTCGTAGGCCTTGAAAAGATATTCTTTTAAGAATCCACGCCTTTTATAGGCATTGAACAAATATTCCTTTATAACTCCATGTCATAACTCCTCGTAGGCCTTGAAAAGATATTCTTTTAAGAATCCACGCCTTTTATAGACCTTGAAAAATATTCTTGGTCCCTTTCAAAAATATTCTTTTAAAAATCCACGCCTTGTTTAGACCCTGAAAAATATTCTTTTAAAAATCCACGCCTTGTTTAGACCCTGAAAAATATTCTTTTAAAAATCCACGCCTTGTTTAGACCCTGAAAAATATTCTTTTAAAAAATCCACGTCTATAATAGCCCCTGAAAAATATTCTTTTAAAAAATCCACGTCTATAATAGCCCCTGAAAAATATTCTTTTAAAAAATCCACGTCTATAATAGCCCCTGAAAAATATTCTTTTAAAAATCCACGCCTTGAATAGACCCTGAAAAATATTCTTTTAAAAATCCACGCCTTGAATAGACCCTGAAAATATTCTTTTAAAAATCCACGCCTTGAATAGACCCTGAAAAATATTCTTTTAAAAATCCACGCCTTGAATAGACCCTGAAAAATATTCTTTTAAAAATCCACGCCTTGAATGAAAATACACTGAAAAATATTCTTTTAAAAAATCTTTTAAAAAATCCACGTCTATAATAGCCCCTGAAAATATTCTTTTAAAAAATCCACGCCTTGAATAGACCCTGAAAATATTCTTTTAAAAATCCACGCCTTGAATAGACCCTGAAAAATATTCTTTTAAAAATCCACGCCTTGAATAGACCCTGAAAAATATTCTTTTAAAAATCCACGCCTTGAATAGACCCTGAAAAATATTCTTTTAAAAATCCACGCCTTGAATAGACCCTGAAAAATATTCTTTTAAAAATCCACGGCTTGAATAGACCCTTTCTTTCAAACACCCCTAAGTGCCGCCTCATCTACATGCGCATGTACTCATGCTTCAGATCCATATAAGAGCACGGTACAGTATCAGCGTCTAGTAGAGTGTGAGTTTGGTCTGGCGGGAGGTTGCCGTGTTTCTAAACTGCTTACTTAGACCATAGTAGCATCTGTTGGCCATAACAATACTTCTCCGAATTTCAAAACTAATGTCATTCGTTTTATTTATGACTGTATCAAGGTATATCAAATCTTTAACTACCTCGAAGCTGTAGTTCTCAAGTTTTACAGTTGGTTCGATTCTACTGGACGTCTTGAGCGTTGATACGATCAGCTTGGTCTTCTCGCCGTTTACTGCCAGACCCACTTTGGCAGACTCCTTCTCAATTTGTTCAAAGGTGGCTGTTACCGCTCGCAATGTTCGACCCATTATATCGATGTCATCGGCGTAGGCGAATAACATGTGTTGTTAGGTGTACAGAGTGCCATTTCAGTTGACCTTTGCGTCTCCAGCAGGATGTTAAAAAGATCACACGACAAACTGTCATCCTTTAGGATGAAATGACCGATAGGTCCTTTCCGACTTTAACTGCTGACCTTGTGCCACTTAAAGTTATCCTGCATAGCCGTAATAATTTTGCAGGAATGCTGAACGTAGACATGGCCTTAAACACCTCTGAAAGGAATTGGGCTGTCGAATGCGGCTTTATAGTCGACAAATAGGTGGCAGACTGAAAATCTGATCAATGGTGAATTTGCCAGGTCTGAAGCCTCATTGGTATGGTCCAATGATGTCATTGACCATTGGCTTCAGTCGTTCACACAGCACAGTGGATAGCACTTTATATGCGATGGGAAGGAGACTTATTCTTCTATAGTTGGCACATATCGTCTTGTCTCCTTTTTTTGTGCACGGGACACAGGATGCTGAGGTTCCAATAATTGGGCATGCATTCCTCTTAGGCAAATTGTACTAATCAGCTGGTGCATGCTCCTGGCCAGCATCTGTCCATCAGTCTTGAATAGTTCCGCTTGTAACCTATCGGCTCCTGCTGCTTTATTGTTTTTGAGCCGATTAATTGCTTTTATGACCTCATCTTGACTAGGTGGTGCACACTCTTTACCATCATATCATATTGGTTCTGGGGTATCTTCTTCACCACCACTATTTGATGCCAGAAGCTTTTCAAAAGGCCCCTTCCAGATCCTCAACACGCTGTCTGTATCTGTCACCAGGTTTCTATCTTCATCTCTACAGGAGGATGTGCCAGCACCAAAGCCTTCGGTTTGCTGTTTTACTCGTTGGTAAAATTTCCGGACTTCATTCTGACTTCTGTTAACACATCGATTTGCTCACGCTCACGTTTTTCTTGTTATTTCTTCTTTTTTCTGAAAACACGTTTCTCCTCTCTCCTTTTCTCCCGATAATTCTCCATCACGTTTCGTGTTGCTACTGTCTGCAGGGATGCCCTCCTGTACGCTGCGTTCACGCCTTGAATAGACCCTAAAACATATCGTTTAAAAAATTCAAATTCGTTTTTTTAAATCCACGCCTTGTATTGGTCCCTAAACTAAAATTCTTTAAAATCCCAAATTCTTTTTTTTAATCCACGCCTTGTATTGGTCCCTAAAAATATATTCTTTAAAAATATCAAATTCATTTTTTAAAATCCTGTCCTTGTATTGATCCCTAAAAATATATTCTTTAAAAAATTCAAATTCATTTTTTAAAATCCACGCCTTGGATAGGCCTTAAATTTTTTTCTTTAAAAAAATTCACGCCATTATAGACCTTGAAAAAAAATTCTTTTAAAAAATCAATGCCTTGTATGGGCCTCTTTCAAAATTAAAACTCAATCTTTTTTATTTTGTTTCACATCAAAATTTCTTTTTCATATTTTTTGTATTTATTTATTTTTTTATTAAACATTTTTCGTTTTTTTTTTCTTTATAATTTTTTGATTGTTTGTTTTATAGAAGACAAATAAAATAGGAAACTAAAAAAATATATATATTTTTTAATTTTAAAATTAATTTGGCATATGGAAAAAATTGTTGTCGTTGGTCACTATTTTTTTTTTTAATTATTAAACATAACATTTGGAAAATTGGTATTTATATATATTTAAAAATTTAATTAAACTAAAACAAATAACCTAGGATTTTTTTATAGATTTTATACCGGCAAAATAGAGGTATAAAATATATATTTTTTAATTAAAAAAAATAAAAATAATTTTCTATATACAATATTTAAAATATAAAATAATCGGCTTGCTTGTGTTTTCTTTTTTGGATTGTTTTTCTACTGTTGTTTTTTTTAATTTTTAATATTGAAGTTAAAAATAAAATAATATGTCTATATAGAAGAAAACATAACAAAAAATTGATATTTATTTATGCTATAACAGTTGGTTTTTTATATAAGAAAAAAGAAACCTACATTTATATGTTATGTGTAAAATTAGTTAAGTGGATTTTTTTTAGCAGAGAAAATGTGAATTATTTTTTTTTAGAAAAGTGAGGTTAGGTCATTTAATTGCCATTTAACGGTGGGGAAAATTCAATTTCTATTGAGATTTAAAACTTTTTCAAATGTAATATATTATTTTTATAAACATAATGGACTATGTAGAACCTTTTAGAGTCTCCAATTTGTTTTCAATTTTAAAATTTTATTTTTTTGAAATTTAGAAAAACATTTATTTCTTTATATAAGTGAGGTTAGGTCATTAAAATGCCCTTTAACAGGACACAGTCAATTTCTATTCAGATTTAAAATTTTTGAAAGAAGTATATTATTTTTTTTCAATATTTTGGAATTTTTGGAATCTATTTTGTAAATTTTAAAAATTAAAAAATATATATATTTTTTAAATTTTTTGAAAAAATTTAATTTTTTTAATTTTTTGAACGTGAAGTTGAACAATATTTAAAGTGTATTAATTTTCTATTTTAATAATATTTAAAGTGTTTTCTGAAAGTATGGAACATTTTAAAAAATTAATTTTTTTTAAATAAAAATATTTCCTTCAACATAACCTCACATTTTTGTATGACCCTCAATGGGCCTTACATTTAGTCTGGGGTCACTTTTAAATTCTCTAGATTTGTATCTTCAATTTTTCTCTGCTTAAAAAAACTGTTATGAGATTCCGTTTGTTTTTCTATGGAAGAGCATATTTGGAAAACTCTATGGAATTTGGTCTCTTGTGGCGATTTTGAGGTTAGGTTGTATTGATTGATATTTTTTCTACGTCTGCTAAATTTTAAGGGGTCACATTTCTTGTTTTCTTTTTTTAATTTTTTTTTTAATCTAAACATAATTTATATATTTTGTACAATTTTCTTTTAAAAATATTTTTTTCTTAAATTTTTATAAATAACCCAAAAATAATTTTTTTT